ACAATATTACTGAGGGTAATGTCTGCAAATTTACTCCCTATGTTTTCTTCTAGGAGTTTTATGGTTTCAGGTCTTACATTTAAGTCTTTAAACCATTTTGAATTTGTTCTCATATATGGTGTAAGTAGGTGGTCCATTTTCATTTATTTGCACGTCAGTCCAATTTTCCCAGCACCATTTATTAAATACACAATCTGTACTCCAATGTAAATTCGTGCTTCCATTGTCATGGATTAAATGACCATATATGGATGGGATTATTTCTGGGCTCTCATTTCTCTTCCATTGGTCTGTGTATCTGTTTTTATGCCAGTACCATACGGTTTTGATTACTATAGCCTTGTGGTATGATTTGATGTTGGGTAACATGATACGTCCCACTTTGTTCTTATTTCTCAAGATTGCTGTAGCTATTTGGGGTCTTTTATGGTTCCATATAAATTTTAGGATTATATGTTCTATTTCTGAGAGAAATGTCTCTGGTAGTTTGATAAGAATTGCATTGTATCTGTATATTGCCTTATGTAGTATTGACATTTTAACTATATTAATTCTTCCTATCCATGAACATGGTATGTATTTCCATTTATTGTTATCTTATTTGATTTCTCTCTTCAACGTCTTATAATTTTCTGAGTACAGGTCTTTTACTTCTTTGGTTAAACTTATTCCTAGGTATTTTATTGTTTGAAGCAATTGTAAATGGGATTGATTTCCTGATTTCTTCTTCTGATTGTTTCTTATTGATGTTTACAAATGCAACTGATTTCTGAATGTTAATTTTGTATCCTGCTACCTTACTAAATTAATTTATCAGTTTTAATAGTTTTTTGGTGGAGTCTTTGAGATTCTCTCTATATAGTATCATGTCATCTGCATATAATGACAATTTTACTTCCTCCTTTCCAATTTGGTTACCTTTTATTTCATTTACTTGTCTGATTGCTGTGGCCAGTACTTCCAGAACTATGTTGAATAGAATTGTTGAAAGTTGACAGCCTTGTCTTGTTCCTTATTTTAAGGGGAAAGCTTTTAGTCTTTCCCCATTGAGTATGATGTTTGCTGTGGATTTACCAGATATGGCCTTTATTGTGTTGAGGTATGACCCCACTATTCCCACTTTGCTAAGAGATTTTATCATAAATTGCTGCTGTATTTTGTCAAATGCAAAGCACTGACTTCTATTGTTTTTTTCTTTTACATAATCTGATGCCTGTTAGAGGACACAAAATCTGATTATTTTCTTTATTAATTAAATATGCAAAGTTTAATATTGTCCAAAGTTTATTTACTGTGGGTAGTATGATCTGTGACTATTAGTTTAAAAAAATCATTCTCTCGGTGAAATACCAGTTTTCTTCACTGCAAGCTGATCTGGTAAGCTTTATTGGATGGTCCCTTTTTTGTCCTTCTAGTCTAAGACTGGTCACATGTATAGTTAACATAGCAATACTTTGGCTATGTAAATTAACACTAGAAAAGATAATTCTATTATTTTAGATAAATTGGAATAAGATAGCTGTCCAAAAGGGAAGTCAGGAAGACCACCTTTTATATCATGCTTTACATATCTGTCATTACCATAATTTTTTGGCCTTTTTTCCCACCACTATTATTTTATTCTCTGTTATAGAGTCCTTGTAGTTGTCCAGTACTCCATGCTCCAGAATGCTGGGGAAGTTTAAAATATTGGCATTGGCTTGGATAAATTCAGAGTAATTATCAGAATATTTCTCTTTAGTGTGCTAAGAAATAAAAGGTAGTTTAATGGACTTGAGAGTAAGCTATTTATAGGAGACAAAAATTACTGCTCTCAGCTCTTACATTTTTCAGCTTATCAAGCCCTTCCTTGTTAGTGACATGATCTTAATGTTACTGATCTTTGCTACCCACAGTTTTTCTCCTTTATTGTTCCAATGATATTCTTCCCTAAGACCAGACTTTCCAGATTGTTGCACTAGGTGTCATGATCATGAACCACACAGGTTTCCCAATATATTTTAATAGCCAGACTTGTAAAGCATTTGAAGCATTAGTACCTTTAATGTATAATTGTCATTTCAGGTCTCCTCAGTCATCCCACTCATGTTATTTTCATGTTATACTATCTTAAATTTATGCTGTCTGGAAATACCCACAGGATGCAAATAGTGACTTGGTGCTTTCTTAAGCAAACCATCTGTCTAACATAATCTTCACAAGTTTACAAACTATAGATTATCAACCCTGGCAGTCAGTGCTCATTTTGAAATTTGTTTTTTCTTCAAAGGAAATAGCTACACTTTTCAGTCTGTGCTTGCTTGTTGATTTTACTACCCCTATTAATATGTAGCTCTTAAGTTCAATATATGTTCCTCATATTGGTTAGAGGCATTATTCTTCTGGGAATTTATCATCTTCACGCCAAGAACAGTCATTACATACAAACTAGAAGTTATAGGTTTTATTTTTCTGACTTAATCCCCACCTAGTTTGAGCCCTTCCCATGTTAAACTCAATTGGGAACAAGAGGTAGACCACCCCATTGGTCAAGGGGCTGGCTTCCTTGCTCATGACATTCAGAAATCACCTCCATCTCTTATTAAAAGCAGTCTTCTGTTTTTCAGCTTGAAAGTGAAAAGAAACATTTAAAGGCCAACTATTTGATATTACTTTCCTTTGAAATTATCTCCTATAATCTGTCAGTAACTAAACTATTATACAAAATGATTGCTTTTCTTAAAATTAGCATACCCAGCATATCCAATCTGAAATAAATATTTTAAGTTGAACTATATTGTAAGTTGTTTTTAAAATTATGTAATTGACTTATTAAGTGCATTCAAAGTGGGTCTTGATTCCATGAGAACCTTCAGACCAAAAAGAGTCATTGCATAAAACCAAGAAACACGGAGCTTCAATTTTTTCCAGACCCAACCCCATCCCCTTAGAGTGCCTCCTATGTTGAATCCAAGTGGGAACAAGAAGTCAACTGTGCCATCTTCTCACATTCTTTATTGTTGAGATAACCAAGCTGCTATAACCTGTCCTGATTAACTCCCAAAAGAACAATACCAATGAGTTCTTCTGAATTTTATCTGTTAATAATGTTTCTCTTTGTGTAAATAAGAAAAGTATATGTGTCAGTTGCCCTTTCCAGGTTTCTTGGGCCCACTGTTTCTGCATAATAGCAGATTTTGGTTCTAAA